ATCTATACAAGAACACAGTAAACGCGATTCATGTTTTACCGCTCTTAAACGAATCTATTTACTTTTTTAATGCGTTTAGTCTCATTTCTTTCGAAAAAGTACGTTCCAACGTACTAAATTCTTGCTGACAAATGCGTTTCAAGTGCAGGAAGAAGCACGTTTTTAGACGCGTTGGTACCCAAAAATATTTTCATGGGATGTTTGGAGGTCTATCGGATTTTTGAACAAATCATGATATTCCAGGTTCAATAAGAGTTACGTCTTGTTTTAAGTGTACCGGTCGCAGCCTAGGAATTCGCTCATGGTGTCTACATCGCTTTCGTAATTCGAAAGCCCTGTTATCGTTTTTTCTACACGGCTTTCGTAACGAATTTTGACAGGGCTTTCGTATCAAATTTTGGCAGAGCTTTCGTATCATAAATATACAGGGTTTTCGTTTTTGACAGGACTTTCGTAACTATATTCTCTATTGCATTCATAACCAGATCGAAAGACTGATACTCTATAAAAAAACAAGGTATTCGTTGCGAAAACCCATGTTTACAAATATCTGTTAAGTCAATAGGTGCGATTTATCCGTAACAACTGCTATGCACTTAAGTAGTCCAAATACATAGTGCTTTACTGTGAATTGATTATCTATATACATTCATAGATGTCGCTATCACTTCCACGGTTGAATAGAGGATTACATCATTAAAAACAATAGACCAATAGGTTGACCATTTGTAAACAAATAGACTTTTTTTCTCTTTCCTTTCCAAACAGAGTGTAGTCTTAGAAAAGTCACTACCACCAGCGACATCGATGGTGAAGTTGATGAAAAACGTTTCTAAGAATCAGGTTACTCAAGCACCAAAACCTGTTGTGAAGAGTATTCAAACTTGAGTCAATTTATCTTTATTGCTCTTTGATTTTCTTCTCCAAGAAAATTGTGTATCTTCACCAACATTCTTCTTTAATGTTTAAACGTTCAGCTACAGCTTGTAAAAAAACGCACACTGAAAATTTCTCAATAGAATGCTAAGTAAATGTTGACTAAAGTCGTATTAGTTTATGTTTGTTCGTGTAAAATGATATTATTATCTTTCTGTTATGGTATTTTTTTTGCTCTCTACATATAGTTCTTTGTTTTTTCAAGTTCTGTGTGCGACTATTTCTCGTTGAAGTTGTTGACTTAAAGTCAAGAAAATCAATTATGTGTATTCTTATTTCTATTATTTGGACTTTTTGCTCGTTCACTCTTCTCTCTCTATGTATCGCTGAATTTTTTTACTTTTTGTTGTTATTAAGAAATGAATTTAAAAGAAGATAAAAGTTTGTCTGTATCTATGTTCTGGTTCTTTCCTTCTGCTCTTGAACTTTTTTTTAAAATAATTTTGATAGATCACTAATCCCAATATGAAACCCTATCAGCAACATCTGACTAGAGATGACCCTAAGGGTTTTTGCGTTACGATACCCCTGTAACAGCGATACGGAGGCCCTGTAAAATCTATAGGAAGGGTCTGTTAGAACGATACGAAAGCCCTGTCAATATGGATACGAAAGCTCTGCCAAAAATCGATACGAAACCCCTGCTTTTTATGACTTATGCATTTTACATTGTTACGGAAACCCTGCTTCTTACAGGGCTTTCGTAACCAACCGTTACCAGTTGATACTTTCCCCTTTTCTCAATAAATCTTGTGATAGATAAGAAACAGGAAAACGGTACACCAAGATTTGCATAGACAAGAAGTGGGCATGAAAATAACATTTTCTATTATCGAAATAATACCCATCTAAATTTGTTTTCGACTTCAGTGTTTTGTGGTTCTCGAAACAAGATTAGTGCAAGTCGGACTAAACAGATAACTAATGCCCCATGTTAGAAAACTTTCCGTTTTCACAGTGAAACTGACGGAAAGACTTTCCATTCAATGAATTTTTCCAAAGCTTGCATAGCAGAAGCTTGTCTCTGCTTCTACAACGTATGTTGCTTCGTGACTGTCCTGCTTTGTAGCAGAACAGGAAAGTTTTCTTACTTTCAGCATCAGACATATCAAAACGATTAGCGAAACTCATTCTTTCTTGTTGGTTTCTTTAGATTCTATGGATCACACATACGGTATCAAGCTTGGAGAAAATCCCTATACCTGGAGTCCATATTCAATAGATGCTCCTAATATCAAGCTTGGAGAAAATCCAAATACCTGGAGTCCATATCCAATAGGTGCTCCTGGTGTCAAGCTTAGAGAAAATCCAAATATCTGGAGTCCATATCCAAGAGGTGCTCCTGGTGCCGGCAGCGCATATGGTTACAGCTACTTCTGAACTGCAGTGCATAAACTCATCAGCTGAACATTCATAGTTTCTACCTTTATACGCCGTAGATGCTTTCTCTGTTTCCTTTGACAAAGTTGATTTAGCATGTCAGTGAGTTTTTATTATCATGTTTAACTAAGAAAATCCAAATACAGTCCGAACAATATTCACTAGTAAGGCAGATTATCATGGATTCACAGGGTATGGGTGTGGGTGGAGTGTGGCGGTGTGGGTGTAACTCTAGAGAAAACCAAGGTGAATCTCACCTCCACTTACTCACCCATATGTCGAAAGGTAGAAATGCAGAAAATGAAAGTAAATGGAAGTGGAGGTCTCCCTCGTCCTCACCTTCACTCTTATGTTCTTGCCTTCCATCATCATTTCTGTTTCGACTAAGTTCAAGTTGACCAAATTTATTGTGCAAAACAAACTGAATATATTATAATCTGTAATTTAAATGAGTCAATTTAAAAAAATTCTATTTTTAAAATCTGATTGTGCAAAAACTACTCCTTTTGATTATAAATATAAAATATTCAAAAAATGATTTATCTTATGATAAATATAGGCACATTCATATGAGAATGCTCAAATGTATTTGAAAAACACTGTGCTTAAACATGGCAAAAAAACTCGTTTCATTGCTCAAGGAAACATAGAATTATAATGGCCTTTTCAGATGGGACAAAATAATGTACATTATAAAAATGCCGAAGAATAACAAGAAATAATTTTTTTTATTAGCTAAAATCTGTCTTACAGTAAACATCCCTTCTGAATTTTCGCTCGACAATTCTCGTATAGAAATTATGGAAATATTTTGAGAAAAACAGTCCGAAAACACTTTCAAACTCAAGAAGAGTATGGGTGTAGGTGTGGGTGTGGGTGTGGGTGGGTGTGGATATAGGTGTGGGTGTGGGTGCGAGTGTCGGTGTTAGTTAAGCCAACCACTCTACCCACATGCACACATCTACCCACAACCACACTCACCGCACACCCATATCCACATCCACACCCACACCCACACCCGCCCACACCCACACCCGCACCCACCCACACCCACAACCACACCCACACCCACATTTACAGTTGAGACAGTAGAAAGTTAACCACTCTATAGTTTCCATATATATCAGCATAATAGACAAATTTATGATCTCAAATAATATTCATACATTCTTGTGAACTATACATTATATTCGCTTTAGGAAAACATTCACGTAGCTTGGAAACAATGTATATTTAGAAATAATGAAGTGTTTTCTAGATAATAGGTAAAGAAAATATTCTCTTCTTATCGTCGTCTATTTGCTCCAGACAGCAGACGATACGTACCAGTTTTCAAATCCATTTGATTCTTGTGATTTTCTGTACATTTTATTCACTATACGGGAAAATGCCAGTTCGACCACATCTTACATAGAAAACGATCGGTCTTGCAAAAAAGCTAATTAGCAACTTTCGGATTTTGTACTCGCTAATCAGATTCAATCGAAAAGGACAATTGTATAAATCTGTCAAAGTACTTGAGATATGCAGATATCTGTGAAGGACATCTTTAAGTTGAACATTGCACGCAAATCTCACCATAGCAATGAAATCGAATTATTCAATTGTCTTCTTCAAAACAACATAATATTAATATTTTGTTTGTGAACTTTCTGTTATTCACACATATTGTAAGCAAGACGAAAAAAAGAATTGATGCATTTTGTTTGATGATATGATTTTGATTAATACGTCATGAGATGAGCAGTTTTCAGATAATGATACAACTAGCTATTCAATCTGTAAGTCACACTGCTGTTGAGCATTAATACTTACTACGACATCGACGACAAGAGCTATCATCTGTTGATACATCTCTGATGAAAATCTATTTTGATTAAGAAAGAACGAAGTAAATGTATCGACAGCTTCATCACCATAACTGCTGTTGTTCTTATTTGTTGATTGGAGAACAATAAGAACTTGTCAATTTTTTTTGTTGATAACTCATCCATGTATAATCAATACATCTCTATTGATTAACACAATACAATTTTACCTAATCTATTTGGTTTTTTTTTGAAAAAGAAACAATTGAAATTGTCTGACTTTCTCAAAAGACACAATCAAAATTTTTAAAAGAGAAATATAAAAGATCCCAAGTCATAAATACGTCAAAATTTGTTGCAAAATTGCCTTGCAATTTGTTTTAACAAATTCTTATCATCTGACACACAATATGCAATGCTTCAAGCGAAGGCCAAAATAGCATCTAAACTGTAGATGCACCAAACATGTGCGTTCACATTGACTATATTATTTACATAAGGAATGAAAAGTAGTTTTGCCTACTTTTATTCATGATATTACTTTTGAAAGCATTTTTGTTTTATCGTATCGTATCGTATAGAACGTGTATAAGACGAGAGAAAAAAAAACATGTGCATCGAAGTGAATATTTTCAACACAGATAATCTATTGACAGTATTAAAATTTTTGGTAATTTTTTTTTCTTTTTATTGAAAATATTTCAATAAAATAGATTTTTTAATATTGTATTTTAGAGAGATCAATCACCTCAATCGCTTCTTCCTTGTCAACTACTTACATATGTCTACTCGAAGATAATTACTCGAGAAGATATTTATCCACAGATCTTTGTTAATCATCCAACTGAAATCAAATGCGTTATAATACTCTATTCTATGCCTGGTCTCGTTCCCAATTGGAATCTTACTCAAAATTATATTCGTAATGTTGCAATTGTTTGTGACAAAGAATATACGAAAAATGTTCTTGTTGAAATGTTAATAAAATGTATTCCATGGAATCAGAAACTTATGTTTTGTGCTATTGAACAACGTAATATAACACCGATAATCGAACAATTTATAGAAGAGAAGAAAATTAGTAACTATGAAATATGGACATATATTCAATTTCAATTAGACAAAAATGTATTTATGGAAAAATTGAAAATACTTTCAACAGCAGTTCCACCAGGTAACAATGTATTTCAAAAAAATATTTAAAATTATTCTGAATTTGCAATTATAGGAATTGAAATTCGACCATTGAAATCAGAAGATGCATACATTATTATGGAAGTTGGAGGTTACAAATCATATGATATGTATACCATAGATCAAATTCAATTTTCGATTAAAAAATTATGCACCCTGGGTAAGTTTTGATCTATTTATGTCAATATAGTTTTATAATGATCAAGATTTTATTTTGGAAAATATCCTTAAGAAGAAAATGCAAGTTCAGAATCCTTCTTGAGAAAATATTCTGTGAAATTATTGATATGAATTTTTTAAAAATATTTCCAGAATGAATGCTTCTTCAGTTCTAAATCTTTCTTGAATAGTGTAAAACGAGCTTGATTGTAAATTTAAAAAAAAAACAGGTGCATATCTTGATGGCAAACTAATTGGTTGGCGACTTTTGCTATACGATGGTTCTTTCGACATGGTATATACGCTTCCTGAAGCTCGTCGACTCGGACTCGCATCTTTGTTAAGTGTTCAATTAACGACAGAAATGTTAAAAATGCAGGAACGTGTTTTTGGGTATACAGCTTTAAATAATCAAAAATCAGTGGGATTAGCGGCTAAAATGGGATTTTATGAAACAGGCTTATATGATTGGATTGTATTCGAACCGAATGATATTTTCGTCAAAGAAGATCAACGGCATCCTCAGATACTGAAATCTTCTATCTAAGTTTTCTTTATTAAAGACTCTTTTGATCGAATTACCTTTTTATTATCATCAAATTTTACACAAAAATATATAAATTATTTTGTAACTAATACGTGTATTACAGAACATCGGCAACTTTCAGTTAACAACTTTTTTTCTCTTTCGAATGAACTAGAACATTTCAACTTAATAATATCGTATGGAAAGAAGAGATGATATTGGATCATCTCTGTCAAGTGAATAATGAGGAAATGGCCATTAAAATACATTTTTTTTTAGCGAAAAATGGTAAAGTGACCATTAGAATGCGTATTGAATCGTTCGTGAACCATTTTGACCATTTTATGATCACCAAGTCTATTTTTTCGGAAATTTGATTTGATTTAAATATGTGTATAATTTCTAAAAATTACACGATTTACTAGTCTTTGCTTACAAGAGTTCATATTCTACATAATTGTTAAGAATATAGTTCAAAATTCACCGAATAAGAGTCAATCGAATTTTGTGATCATGATGAAGGAAAATTTAGAAATAACTAAAAAGAACTACTTTTTACATGACTTTAACAATGAATCGACAATTCTCAAATCGAGGAGAATCGTACTCTTCATGATACGCACCATATTTAAAAGTTTTTCCTTGAAAATCGAATGTCTATGATTGAAAAAAAAACGCAATCTTTTTTACTTGCAGTATATTTCATTTATCTCCACCAAATACAAAAACGTAAATCAAAGCATTAAAAATCCTTCGTCTGTTACCGACGTTTACATACATATGTAAAATTATCAAGTATTTGATTGGACATGTTTTTATGATTTTTGCATTATTCTAATTTTTCCTTTAACATTTATTTCGTATCAAACGAGAGACTCAGTAACATACACGAAGAGTACTTTTAGTTACATATATATATTCGTGACTAATGTATATGCATCTTTATAAAATGAGCAATTGACGTATGTCTATGCCTACTTGTAATTTTACAGAGAGAAATGAATTCCTAGCTGTTACATTAACGTTTCAACTAATTGGAGTTTTTTTTTTTCATTAAATTGTTCTTAAATTTCATTCGACGATTTCTTCAAATGATGGTTTAAGAATAAGATAATCCTTTTAATGAACGAATAATCGAGATTTTGAGTCGTTTACACTTTCTTTACGAATGAGGTACAATATTCTTAGCTTTTAGTCAGAATAAATTTTTATTTTGAGATAATTGTTTATTTATCATCGTCTTTATGTATTCATTTATTATTATATCTGTTTATAACCAAATGATCACTGGAATATTATTTTTTCTTGTCTTTCTGTTTTCTCTATATCTAAATTATCTGATTAGTTTATTACAATTGATCGATGATAGGCGTTTGTCTTCAAACGAAGAACATGTGATCGAGAAGGAACAAGAGAACAAATTCAATTCATTTAAAACGAAAATGATCTAGTAGTAACATGTTACCCGCTGCTTTACTTAATAGAATTCAGAACATGTTAAACTATAAACGAAAGAACAGAACAAAAAAAAACTCGATCCTCTGATTTTTGAACAATTTAGACGTTTGAGAAATTTTCTTTCGAATAAATTATTTGTCTAATTTATTAGCACGATCTATCTCTTCTTTCATATCTCTCTGAGTTAAATGAACATGAGTTCAAATTTTTTTCAATTAATTCGAAATAGCATTGAAAATTAGATCTCACAATTAAATTTTACGTTGCCGAGTAATATCTAACACATACCGAGAGGTCGGCCATAGATAATAGCAGTTCGCTGAAAAATAGAAATCTGTTCAATACCCTGTTTTGAATAAAATAATGTAATATGTTTCAAGTCTATTTTAATCAATTTTTGTCTCTTGACGAATGACTTACATTAGCAGTTGATATAAATGAAAAAATGTACAAACAGTTCTATACAGAGTACATTGAATATAATATAAATGTTGTACGAAGAGAACAAGTCAAAAGATGAGTTGAACATTTAGAATGCTTGTGATAGAGGTATTCGTATTGTCAGTTAATAAGTTTAGATATATTCGGGTCAAATTACAGCTCTCATAATTAAACTAAGAAATTTAAAATATAAGCTTTTGTTACCACGCCTAGACCGTGATATTCGAATTTTACGATATTTACATTATATGAAATGTGCTCGCAAATCAAAATTTTAGCAGAATTTTTTTCCTTTTTTCATCATGATTGTATAGAGCTCGTCGAGTTATATAAGAAAAAGTATGTTTCGAATTCAAAACACTCCTTGTGAAAATCAAAATTCTGAGTCTATTTTCCTATATATCTGAAAATAATATTATCGTAGACTTCGTAAAATATTTGTTTTTTGAATTTGAAACATACTTTTTCTTATATGCCTTGACAAGCTCTATTCAATTATGACGAAAACAGAAAAAAAATTCTGCTAAAATTTTGATTTGTGAGTACTTTAGATATGGTGAAAATATCCTAAGATTCGAATATTTTGATCTAGGCATGGTAACAGAAGCCTATATTTTAAATTTCTTAGTTTAATGATGAGAACTGTAATTTGACCTGAGTATATCTGACCTTATTAACGAATAATGCAAACACATCCATCGCTAGTCAAAAAATAACCATTTTAACCACTTGACTGTTAAGTTTTTTTTTAAAACTATCTGGTAAACTTTTTGCAAAATAACTTTTACAAATTCGTAGATAATTAAGGATAGTAAAAGACGTTATCGGACAAACATATTTTATTGTTTTATATAGAAAACAGAAATCGCTTCTCAATAACAAAGCACAAAAAACTTTGTCCTAGAAAAATGCGTTTTCAAAATTGAACGTTTCGCTCAAAAGTTCAGTTATGATAAATACGAAAACATGGATCAACGCAAAGTCCAACATCATAAATTGAACATTCGTATCTTGATTCATGTCTTGTTCGGTTAGTTTTCTTTTGGGAAAATACCTTTACTGGAAGAAGGGGAACAAACGAAATAGCTCGACTGAACAAAACATATTCAAAAAACCGATCTTAATCTTATTTGATCTTTTTCCCTCCTATTACGCAATTGCAAGGGTGAGGAACATAATCGATATGAAGCATCAGAATCAGTAGAGTGAGCTTCAATAGGTGCA